AGTCGTTCGTCTTTAAGTTCATCTGCTCCTAAAAGAATTTCAGTAGGTCAATGTGTCGAAGCCTGACACTCGAAACTAAAACACATGGCCATATCTGTCAGTGACCTACTTTAAACATCACTGCTGCCCATGTGTTTTATCTTCAAGTACCGGGTTTCGGCACACTGACCCAGTGACGAACATTTTTAACTAATGTTTTGACGTTCCTTCAATTTCATCGATAACCCAGCAAAAACAGTGTACAATATGAGTTTACGGGACTACACTTTTCATCTTTACATGACTAGCCTTTTGGATCGTCGACTACCTCTAATGAGACGAAAGTTAAGCCTGGTGTGCTCTGACTTTGATTTCGTTCAAAACAATCACTTTTGGACGTAAAATTGCTTAGAAACAATGGCATCATAACTATGATCTCTCAACTATTTCGTAACACTCATATTAATAAATATCAACATTCTGTAATTCAATTATGAACAAAAAGTATTACATCAATGTGGGCTAAAATGAAGAATTACTGAAATATTCTGAAATTACTAATCTAGGAAACATTTTATGTGATCAATTCCTTATAATACTCATACTTATTTACTCAGAGTTTGGTGCTTTACTGAAATTCGAGGAAAGATATTGGGCATTATACAGGGTGTTCCGTAAAGGGTGTAAGAGCCGAAAATGGCAGATAGGGAGGGTCTTCCTGAACAACAATTTCCTTTGGCAAAATGCAGAATGGGGCTTGGTTACCGAGTTATTAACAAAAAACACGGACCAATCAGAGCGCTCGGTCTACGCGGGCTCCGACTCGGGAGCGTTGGCCCGGATCCGATCCCGAGCCGGAGCCAACGCTCCCGAGTCGGAGCCCGCGTAGACCGAGCGCTCTGATTGGTCCGTGTTTTTTGTTAATAACTCGGTAACCAAGCCCCATTCTGCATTTTGCCAAAGGAAATTGTTGTTCAGGAAGACCCTCCCTATCTGCCATTTTCGGCTCTTACACCCTTTACGGAACACCCTGTATAAGNATAATAAAGATAGCAACTTTAGAATGTATAAAATACTGAAATTTGCAGCGTTACGTGACATACCTGACAAGGGCTTTGTCGAAGCACGTGGGTTTTGAACCGAAGGCGAACGACAGCGATCTCGTAAAAGAGCTCAGAAAAGACGCAATGAGATGGGCCTGCGAAGCTGGCGTCAAGAATTGCACATCTTACGCTGAGAAAACATATCAACAATGGCTCAAAAATCCTTCGACTGTGTAAGTCTACATTTTCTTTTCCAATAATTGATAATTCGTATGCTCTTTCTTCTATAAACGATACTATATACAGAGTGTCCCAGAACTAATGTTAGGCCTTGAAATGGGGAGGAGCCATGGTGATTTTAAACAATTTTTTCCTTTGCAAAAAAGTTGTCCGAGGCGTGGTTGTCAAGTTATTAACAAAAATTACCGACCAATCAGAGCGTTCGTATACAAGGCGGGCAAGAGCGCGATAACCGCCTCGTGCGTTGCCGCGGCCCGTATGCCACGCTCGTGATGAAATGTAGGATTAAAATAAAAGTTATATGCAAGAGCAACTAAGAAATTGTTTAAATATTACAGAAAACAAAGCAATTAGTCGTTTGTTATGTTCACTGNGCAGATAGGGAGGGTCTTCCTGAACAACAATTTCCTTTGGCAAAATGCAGAATGGGGCTTGGTTACCGAGTTATTAACAAAAAACACGGACCAATCAGAGCGCTCGGTTGAGGCGGTCTCCGTTTCGGGAGCGCTGGCTCGGAGACAGCCGGGCGACTTTTCTCGCGTTTGAACAAGCGCTCCGCTCGGAACGAAGCGTTTTAAGAAAATGACGAATAACAAACTACATTAATAACAATGCAAGGAAATTGTTGTTCGTTTGTTATTATGAATAACAATTAATACACTTAATCGTTATTCACGTGGAATGGATGAGATAGATTGTTGATAATTGATGAATGATGATAGGATAAATGAGGAATTAACAAGTCGCAGGGAATATTGAATTAAAAAGGAAATGTAAAAACTGTAGAGATTTAGACTTACCCATTCATTCGCAAGTGCACCTGCTAACGATGGGCCACGGTCAATGGGTCAGCGTCTTTGCCGCTCGCAGGTAGGCCACAGCTGATCTTCTGTTCAGGGAAGGAACCCCGCAATCCACCGCACGATCATTGTCACTCTTAAAAATTTTAACACACTAAGATTGTTGCTCCTACGTCCTATCAATAAACGTCTTTGAAAGCAGCCGATTGATTTTTATACACAAATGCACTTTCATTACACCACTGTCACTCTTCACTTAAAAATTTTCAAACACTTACACTGTCGTTCTTGCACTCTAACATTAAACGTCTCCGAAAGGAACCGATTGTTTTTCACTAACAAAATAAACTTCACTATCCGCGTGGTCCGTGAACTACACGGTGCACGAAGGGCGCGACTCGATCCGGATGACGCGCTTTTTATCGGAATCGGCGGATAACCATCTTTGCGTTAGGCGAATACTCGGATTATTTCGTAATACTCTGTTGGATTCTTCGAGATCCGTCATTGATTTGAGCTGCACGACTCGATACCTACTGAACCGTCTCTCACAACTTTCCTTCGGGAGACTTTTCCCCACTCGATGGCCAAATTCGTTAGTGAAAATGTTTTTAGCATCCATGACAGAAACCTGACCTTCGATTCCTTGTCATATTTACAACATTCCCCACGTGTTAAACACTCGGTACCTCCACGACTTGCAGCTACCAACCGTCGACGCCTGGATTGCCTTTTGCCGTAGCCGTAGACACATTGTACGCAGGTAAAAACCCTGCCATAATCCGTACGGAAGAACTTTCGCCAGTGGTAAAAAAAGTAGAAGGACATTCTTTTACTACGTTCAACCAGTCAAAGGTACTTCTTATTATCGAACACGTGTTTTTAAGGGAAATCGAAAATAATAAGCTGGCGAAACTTCTTCCCTAAGAATTATGACACGGCTTTTACCTGCGTACAATGATGTCTACGGCTTTGCTGGCTGCAAGTCGCAGAGGTACCGAGTGTTTAACACGTGGGGAATGTTGTAAATATGACAAGGAATCGAAGGTCGAGTTTCTTTCAGGGATGTTAAAAACATTTTCACTAACGAATTTGGCCATCGAGTGGGGAAAATTCTCCCCAAGGAAAGTTGTGAGAGACGGTTCAGTAGGTATCGAGTCGTGCAGCTCAACTCAATGACGGATCCCGAAAAATCCAACAGAGTATTACGAAATAATCCGAGTGTTCGCCTAACGCGAAGATGGTTATCCGCCGATTCCGTTAAAAGGAGCGTCATCCCGATCGAGTCGCGCCCTTCGCGCATCGTGTAGTTCACGGATAGTGAAGTTTATTTTGTGAATGAAAAACAATCGGTTCCTTTCGGAGACGTTTAATGTTAGAGTGCAAGAACGACAGTGTAAGTGTTTGAAAATTTTTAAGTGAAGAGTGACAGTGGTGTAATGAAAGTGCATTTGTGTATAAAAATCAATCGGCTGCTTTCAAAGACGTTTATTGATAGGACGTAGGAGCAACAATCTTAGTGTGTTAAAATTTTTAAGAGTGACAATGATCGTGCGGTGGATTGCGGGGTTCCTTCCCTGAACAGAAGATCAGCTGTGGCCTACCTGCGAGCGGCAAAGACGCTGACCCATTGACCGTGGCCCATCGTTAGCAGGTGCACTTGCGAATGAATGGGTAAGTCTAAATCTCTACAGTTTTTACATTTCCTTTTTAATTCAATATTCCCTGCGACTTGTTAATTCCTCATTTATCCTATCATCATCCATCAATTATCAACAATCTATCCCATCCATTCCACGTGAATAACGATTAAGTATATTAATTGTTATTCATAATAACGAATGAACAACAATTTCCTTGCATTGTTATTTATGTACTTTGTTATTTGTCATTTTCTGAAAACGCTTCGTACTGAGCGGAGCGCTTGTTCAAACGCGTGAAAAGCCGGCCGCCTGACTCCGAGCCAGCGCCAGGGCCAGAGTTCTCATAATTTATCCTTCGGTCGGAAAGTGGGGGCGACGCGACCATGGTGAGGACTGATACTTGATGGGGATATGGTAGACATGGTCAGCGAAGGCGCATGAGGAGAATAGTAGTGGGGATCGAAATACGGGCGAAAAAGAGGGGAAGCGAGCTGTGCGGGATAAGTTCTGAGATCCTTGGCCAGCGCTCCCGAAAACCGAGCGCTCTGATTGGTCTGTATTTTTCATTAATAACTCGGTAATCAAGCCCCATTTCGTATTTTGCCAAAGAAAATTGTTGTTCAGGAAGACCTTCCCAATCTGCCATTTTCGGCTCTAACACTTTTTCTGGGACACCCTGTATAGAGTATCCCCGAATTAACCGATAAAACTGTATCAGAGTGTTCATTATCATTGAACTGAACTGAACTGAACTGAAGCGAGATAAAGATGAAATTCGGAGAGCGATAAATTCAGTTTCCTTAAGAGATCAATCTTGTATTCGTAACGGAGGGCGGCACATAAAAATGGGAACAGACTTCCTATGTTTCCCTTCAATTTAATATAGCAGTGCAGTTTCATTCCACTAAACCCAATAAGAACACATTAAAAACTATAAAGCTTTCCAATTTCCTGCAAATCTTATATGCGAGTGCAATATGTAGACTGTGGTTGTTTGCCCAGACTAAACTATATATAAGAATGTGAATGTATTTTCCATTTAATATTCCGTATATTTCTGCATTCATGTTTATTCTATGTTAATATGTTATAGTGTTATAGTATATTCTATGTGATAGTGTGTATTCTATGCACTAGTGTTTATATCCAGCTTCCTCATAAATGTATAAAATCTGCAGTCTAGAAACAACGATATGATAGACAATTAATGTTGTATTCATATCTGTTTTGACCTAATCGTACCGTAGGTGGTAAGACAGGTTAGTTATACGTAATTCGATTTTTCTGGGTTGAAAATAATAACACAGATTTTGAGGGAAAAAGCCATTCGGCATAAAAAACCCTAGTTTATTTTTACATTTGATTCGCTTACAATTAATCATGAAGTTTAACGAAAGAATGGTAATCAATAGATTTCACTAGTACGATCTTTGATCTGCCCGTATGATGCCTCGAATCGGTCTTCAAATGTCGTCCAAGTTGTCTGAGAAGTTATGCCTCGAATGATCGGCAAATGTCATCCAGTTGACTGGGAATTATGCCTCGATACGGTCGGCACATGTCGTCCAGTTAACTGAGAATTATGCCTCGAATGATAGGCAAATGTCGTTAAGAGAATCCGTTGTGATTCCATAAGCCCGAACGGTGGCCGAGGGCCGCACGATGCCCCGAGATTTCGTACGTTGCACGCACTCGTGTTCTTAATAACTCCTCTCACTAATTCTTCTTACTACACTGCTCGCGTGCTCCTCAGGGGTCTCAGAATTTATCCCTCGGCCGGAAAGTGGGGACGACGCGACCATGATGGGGACTGGCACTTGATAAGTTCGCTTCGCGAAGGCGCATGAGGAGAATAGTAGTGGGAATCGAAATACGGGCGAAAAAGAGGGATAGCGAGCCGTGCGGGCTAAATTCTGAGACCCCTGGTGCTCCTTCGGACCAACTGTCCAATCCTCAAACAGACTGTAGTGGGACAGCGGAGTTGGAAAAATACACCCTGATTGGTAATTTTTAAGCGTTGAGGCCCAATCAGTCCGCTCCCTGAGATAACCGTTCTCTCCTTTCCCTTTGTGAGTCTTGGCCTGACGAGGGGTGGAGAACAGTTAGAAAATGTATACAGATTTCCAACGCTTGACGAGACAATGGGCTTTGACCTTCGTTTGGGCTGGCAATCAGTTTTTGGAAATGCGTTGAAGTACCTTTTTACTTCGAGACAACTCTGTTTCCTTTTCTGTGTGACTGGAAAAGGCTATTTGTTGACGAGTTAATCCCTTTTAATGCTAACTGGTCATAAATTCTATTTTTTCCGTTGTTTTTTGCAAACAAAAAAGTTGTTTAAAATCACCATGGCTCCTCCACATTTCAAGGCATAACACTAGTTCTGGGACACCCTGTATATAAGACTGAGGATTTTTATGGAAAATATTACTATCATATAAGAGAAAGCGTTTGTTCATATGATAACAAAAATATGAAAAACGACTTGAGTATTCATAACGAAATTACGTGCAGTAGCTTCCCTATACAGGGTGTCCCAGAAAAAGTGTTAGAGCCGAAAATGGCAGATTGGAAGGGTCTTCCTGAACAACAATTTCCTTTGGCAATATACGAAATTGGGCTTGGTTACCGAGTTATTAACGAAAAACACGGACCAATCAGAGCGCTCGGTTGAGGCGGTCTCCGTTTCGGGAGCGCAGGCCCGACTTCATTCGTTATTATGAATAACAATTAATATACTTAATCGTTATACGCGGGGAATGGATGGGATAGATTGTTGATATGATTGATGGATGATGATAGGATAAATGAGGAATTAACAAATCGCAGGGAATATTGAATTAAAAAGAAAATGTGAAAACTGTAGAGATTTAGACTTACCCATGCATTCGCAAGTACACCTGCTAACGATGGGCCACGGTCAATGGGTCAGCGTCTTTGCCGCTCGCAGGTAGGCCACAGCTGATCTTCTGTCCAGGGAAAGAACCCAGCAATCCACCGCACGATCTTAAGAGTGACAATGATCGTGCGGTGGATTGCGGGGTTCCTTCCGTGGACAGAAGATGAGCTGTGGCCTACCTGCGAGCGGCTGACCCACTGACCGTGGCCCATCGTGAGCAGGTGCACTTGCGAATGAATAAGTCTCAATCTCTACAGTTTTTACATTTTCTTTTTAATTCAATATTCCCTGCGACTTGTTAATTCCTCATTTATCCTATCATCATCCATCAATTATCAACAATCTATCCCATCCATTCCACGTGAATAACGATTAAGTATATTAATTGTTATTCATAATAACGCACGAACAACAATTTCCTTGCATTGTTATTCATGTAGTTTGTTATTCGTCATTTTCTTAAAACGCTTCGTACTGAGCGGAGCGCTTGTTCAAACGCGTGAAAAGCCGGCCGCCTGACTCCGAGCCAGCGCCAGGGCCAGAGTTCTCATAATTTATCCTTCGGTCGGAAAGTGGGGGCGACGCGACCATGGTGAGGACTGATACTTGATGGGGATATATGGTAGACATGGTCAGCGAAGGCGCATGAGGAGAATAG